CACAATACCACCTTCCTGGGACCCTGGTGGAAGCTCAGCAATACAGACTTGGCAATGTCAACATGCCACTTTCCTTCAGTTAAGTTATAAGTGGGAAAGAGGACAGGTCAGGTTAGAAATGGCCATATGAGAGGAAGGAGGGGTCTGGAGGATGGTGTGGCCAGAGTTTGAAACTGGTACTTGCATTTAAAAAGCTATTTTCATGTCACTATTATCATCTCTATTGTTATTGCTGTTTTGGGACAGGACTTCATGTAGGTCAGACTGACCTGAGCTCACTTTGTAGCCAAGGATGGCCTTGAACTCCTAAACCTTCTACCTCTACCTCCCAAGTTCTGGAATTCTATGTAACATTATGGCTGGCTGAGCGCTTTGGCAAACATTTTCTATAAAGGGTTGGACAGTAAACATTTATTTACTTAGGCTTTTGCTGTATTGTTCTCACACAGTCTTCACATTCAGAATTTTCTAGCCTCAACCTCCCTGTTCTGTAGCTGTTTCCTTCAAACTGAAACATTTCTTGTCGCACCAGTGCTCTCCAAGAGGTTATTTAAGCAGTAAACAATTGCTGAAGGGCAGGGGAGTGTGGTGGATGTGCTAGCGGGTTGAGCAGGAGCTCAGGGGTGAAGCTTCCTCTTCACTCAATCTGGGGCTCGAGTCTTCACCTGTTCTGGGGTAGGGTTTTCTGTGATTTATCTGCCTTTGGGTTACCCATGTTCCTTAAGTCGCCTCAGTAAATTCACTGGTTCACTAAGCTACACTTGGGTGGAACCACTGCTTTGAGAATAGATGTTTGCTCAGACCTCCCCAGAAAAGTCACACAACACTTCCAAGTGCTGAGATTACAAGCATGTGTCACTGCACCTGGTTTGATTTATATTTATGATTCATGTTAACTGTGTACTAAATTTACGGTGTACTGTGTGAAATTTTCATACATGTACATAGTACATAATGATCAAATAGGAGTAGTTAACATTTTCATCTCCTTAAAAATTTATTTTTAACTTCTTTTTTTCTTTTTTGGTGTTTTTGAGACAGGGTCTCCCTATAGTGGGGGCTGGCCTGGAACTCACTATGTAGACCAGGCTGGCCTTGAACTCACAGTGATCCAACTGCCTCTGCCTCCTGAGTGCTGGGACTAAAGGCATGCGCCACTAGAAGTCTGGCTTAACTTCTAATTTTTTGTTTGTTTCTTTGTTTTCTGAGACAGGGTCTCCCTGTAGCCCCAACTGACCTAGAACTATGTAGACTAGGCTGGCCTCGATCTCATAGAGATCCACCTGCCTTTGTCTCCTGAGTGCTGGGATTAAAGTTGTGTACCCAGTTATTATCTTTTAAACATTATCTTATGCCCAAGTTGGCCTCAAACTACAGGTTCAAGCAATCTTCCTGCCTCAGTCTCACAGTACCCAGTAATTTTTTTTTCGGTCTTTTTGAGACAGGGTCTCCCTGTAGCTCTAGCTGGTCTGGAACTCACTTTGTAGACCAGGCTGACCTTGAAATCACAGAGCTCCGCATGCCTCTGCCTCCCAGTGCTATGACTAAAGGCATGCGCCACCACACCCAGCAAGAGCAGTAGGTATTCTTTTTTGTTTGTTTTTTTCTGTAGCCCCAGCGGTCCTGGAACTCACTATGTAGACTAGGCTGACCTTGAACTCACAGAGATCCATCTGCCTCTGCCTCCCAAGTGCTGGGATTAAAGGCGTGTGCCACCATGCCCGGCCCAAGCAGTAGGTATTCTTAAGTGCTGAGTCCTCTCTCCAGCACCAACACTGGGCATTTTTATTTATTTATATTCTGTGTACGAGTGTTTTGCCTGCATGTATGTACATGCACCCATGTTGTGCAGTGCCTGTGGAGGACAGAAGGGTGCTGGGATTTGAACCTGGGTCCTCTGCAAGAACAGCTCTTAACAGCTCTTAACAGCTGAGCCATCTCTCTAGCACTGAGTTGGGGGGGCGGTTGTTTTTTTTTTTTTTGGTCTTTTCGAGACAGGGTCTCCCTGTAACTCCAGCTGTCCTGGAACTCACTATGCAGACCAGGCTGACCTTGAACTCACAGAGATCCGCCTGCCTCTGCCTCCCTAGTGCTGGGATTAAAGGCGTGCGCCACCACGCCCCGCTCAAGTTTGTGTTTTTTAAAAAAATGTGTTAGGGGGCTGGAGAGAAGGCTCAGCCTTTAACAGCACTGACTGTTCTTACAGAAGACCCAGGTTCAAATCCCAGCACCCACATGGCAGCTAACAACTGTCCGTAACTCCAGTTCCAGGGGATCCGACAGCCTCTTCGGTCCTCTGCCTGCATTGCATGACACGGGTGCACCTACCTACGAGCAGGCATAACACTCATACACATAAAATAAAAATAATAAAATATTTTAAATTTTTTTTTAATGTATTAGGACTGGAGAGATGGCTCGTCAGGGACATCTGGTTTTCTTTCTGAGGACCCCACTTTGGTTCCCAGCACCCATATCAGGTGGCTCACAATTACCTATAACTCTAGCTCCAACCACTCCTCAACATAAGGTGTTCATCTCCCTTTCCGATCCTACTTAGGGTGGGGCAGTCAAACACACCAGGCCATAAACCTCAGCAATCCATGATTTGATATAGTCCTTTCCTGTTTCTACTCTGAACAGAAACTCATTTAGCAAATGAAAACAGGTTGCTGATCAAAGATGGAATAGTGTGCGTGGACTTCAGGAGTCTGTCTGCCTGCTGACCATGACTTAGCACACACCCCTAGTACTTCCTGTGCTTCTGGACACTGAATGGACACTTGCCTTTTATTTGCAGCAGGGCCAGAGCAAAGGTGCAGAGATCTGACTACAAACAGGAGAAACAGCTCTCCTCCTGGGAGCCAGGGGCAGGTTCAGGCACATCTGTTCCCTTGACATTGGAGCAGCTGGCTTACAGCAATAACCTAAAACAGTAGGGCTGAGAGACAGGTTGAAAAGTCAATAAAACAAGGTAGAACACTCACCTAGCATGCCCAAGGCCCAAGCAAAAATCAGTAGAAAAACCCTAATAAAACAGAAGTCATGAAGTATGGTGGCACACGCTTTTTTTTTTCTTTTTTCTCTTGGTGTTTTTGAGACAGGTCTCCCTGTAGCCCCAGCTGGCTTGGAACTAAGTAAACTAGGCAGGCCTTGAATTCACAGAGATCTGCCTGCCTCTGCCTCCTGAATGCTGGGATTAAAAGTGTACGCCACTGCCCCTGGCTGGCTCATGCTAATTTTAATCTCACCACTCAGAAAATTGAGGCTGGAGGATTTCTGTAACTTTGAAGCCAACCTGAGTTTAAAGCTAACCTAGGCTACAGAGCAGGACCTTTCTCAGAAAATAAAACAACCAACTAACAAAACACAACAGAAGTCCCTTAACAACATTACCTTCAACTTCAACCGTGTCCCAGTATACCAAAGAGTGAAATGTGGCATTTGTCAACTAGACATCAAGACCTTTTTTGCAGACCCATAGTTCAACTGAGTGGTAAGTGCTTGCTGGTGTTGGAGGGACCTTGTGCGTTCGTTTGTTTTTGTTTTTTTTGGCTTTTTGAGACAAGGTCTCTTTGTAGCACCAGTTGTCTTGGAACTCACTATAAAGACCAGGCTGGCCTCGAACTCACAAACATCTGCTTGCCTCTGCCTCCCAAGTGCTAAGATTAAAGGCCTGTGCCACCACGCAGGGCATGCGGCCCTGTGTTGACAGCACTGAAAATCTAAAACACTCAAACGTTCTTTTATTTCATGTATTTCCAATGAAAAATTATTAGGACTGTTAAAAGTCCTTTAAAAATACCCAAGAATCACTTACTTGAACAAGCACAGCACGCCACACCATGCCCTACCGTGGTTTAAATTAATTTCACAACCCTTGGAAGCTTCCCTGCAGACCCAGAGATGAAAGCTGTAGGACAGTAGGGTTACAGGTCATAAATGGCAAAACTAAAACTCAGGACTGGCACTGTGACCCAGGCCCTTCGGTGAGCTCAGCCCTGAGGGTACAGCCCTTCCGCGCAACCTGAGCGCGGTGCAGGCGCTGGCATGGCCGTGACGCCACCGCGACGAGCCGGGCGGGGACAACCCGGTGGGAAGGACCGCGTGTCCACTGGCCTCCAACCGGCAGGACCAGGTGACAAACGGCACCTGGGGCCCTCAAGGTTGGGATGCAGCAGGGCGGCGGCTGCACTCCGTCCTGAAAGCGGAAGCTGCAGGCCACGCGGCACCACTGTCCCCGTGTCTGCCAGGACACCGCCCTGCGGGAACCCGGAAGGCGTCCTCCCCATTTCCATTCCGGAAAGTCGGGAGGCGGCCAGGTGCCCGGGAGGCGGCCAGGTAGGTGCCCGGGAGGTGCTGCAGCCTGATGACTCCGGGCGGATCCTGGAGTCGCCGCCGCAGCAGGTCCGGGGAGGACCGCGCCCACGTCCTCTCCGCCTCTCCGCCCCCCTCGGCGTTGCTGCCCGCCGCGGGCCGGGAGGTGGACACGTCACTGTCACCCTGGGAAGGGCTAGAGAGGACAGGAGCAGACACCTCCGCTCTAAATCCGGGGTGGAGGGGTCCCCAGGCAACACTGCGTAACTAACGTCCCGGGCTCCGTGGAGTTCGCTCGGCCCGGCGCCGCGCGGCACGTCTTCCCTGCGGAGGCTGTATGGCGACCCCAGCGCTGGGGCCTCCGCACAGTGCACGTCGCAGCTGCGCTCCCCTCATTCGGAGCTGCAACCGGAGACCCGGGTCCCGAGGGAAAGCGGCGAGCACGTGGGCGACACGGAGGAGGGCCCCGCGGCGCTGGCTGAGAAGGGCGGGGCGTGGACACGGGCCTCGGTGGGGCGGAGCACAGCGGGACCTGTGGGTGGAGATCCGGCTGCACAGGAGGCACCCGGAACCAGCCCGGCCAGAGAGCCTTTTAACGTCAAACATGGAAGTTAGCTTTAAAAACATTACACTGCTTTGGGGAGAACAGATTGGAGGAGACGAGGAAGGCCAGCAGGAATCCCAAACTAAGGTACTGACTAGAGAGACAGAGGGAGTTGAGCCATTAAAGAACGTGGGACCCTAAGAATAAAGAACTGATTGATCATTTCCAACCCCTCTTCCCCGAAAATAAACTCAAAAAGGTAAGAATTTCCAGTTTGTAGTCTGGTTTTCTCAGTAATTAAAAAAAAAAAATTAAGAGGATGGAGAGATGACTCGGTGGTTATGAGACAGTGGGCTGTTCATGCAGAGGACCGGGTTTAAATTCTCAGCACCCACATGGCTGTTGACAAGCTTCCTAACTCCAGTTCCAGGAGAATCCAATGCCTCCTCTGACCTCAGTGGGCATCGCATGACACGGGTGTACAGAACGCACATGCAGACAATACACCCCTTATACATACATAAAATAGAACTAAAAAAATAAAGTTTTAAATTAATTTTTATTTTATGTGTATGAGTGGTTTTTTTTTTGTTGTTTTCTGTTTTTTTTGGGGGGGGGTGTTTTTCAGACAGTGTCTCCCTGTAGCCCCAGCTGTCCTGGAACTCACTATGTAGAGCAGGCTGGCCTTGAAGTCATAGAGATCCGCCTGCCTCTGCCTCCTGAGTGCTGGGATTAAAATTTTGCCTGCATGCATGTGTGAGACCCTAATTTGTCTCTAACCGTTTCTTTCTGCTTCTGTAATCTGCTTGGCTTAAGATGGCACTAACTCCATTTTGACTAGCTGTTTCAGGCATGTTGTAATCTTCAGTTACCACCCCCATCCTGGAAAGCTATAGATCAAGCAAGCCTGGGCATATAGTAGCCTTATAAGGTGAAAACAGAAACTTCTGGCCCCACAGATAACAGCACATTCTGATACCCTAAAGACAGCCCCTACCAATAAGAATCCTCCCTATACTCAGGGCATAGGACCACCCAATCATTTTAAAAGATGCTTGGCGCGTGGACGTCTGTGAAACTTCCCTATAAAAACCTACCCCACCGATGGATCCTCTGCGTTGGGTGAAATCTGAGGGCCCAAGCTTAAGCCCGAATAAAGGCTCTTTGCTTTTGCACGTTCTCTGGTCTCCTTGGTGGGCGTTGGGGGGGTCACAGGATCAGAGTGCAACATTTGGGGGTTGTCTGGGATTCCCCAAGACCCCCCCACAGGACCCCTGGAGTGTTGAGCCTGGTCTGGCGGGTAAGTGTCTTTGTCCTTTTGTTTGTGTGTGTTGCGCACACTTGGTTTTGGGCCCAGTTACCTTGTTAGCCTGTTGGCGGTCTAGGTGGACGCGCTGGAAGACCCCAGGCTGTGGGACTCGGGAGACGTCCCGGACCCACCGGATAGCGATTGGATCCCACTTGTAACTTTGGAAGGGAAAGGCGGGTCACGCCCGCGGAGTGGTGAGAGGCAGACATCCCACTTTCAGTTCTTCTTTAAGGTACCTGGAAGTATTGTTTTGTCAGTATGTGTCTTTGTGTTTTCCGTGTTATTTGTGACTTACTTACTCGAGGACATGGGACAAAATTAAGTAACACCTTTGAGTCTTTTCCAGGATCATTTTTCTGACTTCAAAAAGAAGGCTAGAGGACAAGGGCTGGAGGTCAAAAAGAGCAGACTCTTTGTCCTTTGCAGGAATGAATGTCCAATCTTTGATGCTGGATGCCCGAAAGGGGGAACATTTGACCTCCCCAGTATTTTCAAGGTTAAAAATATTATATTCGGGCAGCCAGGACACCCCGACCAGGTTCCTTATGTTGCCACCTGGCAGGCCCTGGTTGAAGAGCCCCCCGCCCAATGGCTCAAACCATTTTTACCACCGCAAAGGTTCAAAGACAGCTATCCTCACCCTGTGCCAGGATGAATGGCAAAAAAGTGAAACCAAACTGTCCACCCCACTTTATCCTGCCCTCCAGGGCAGAACGGAGGAAGAACTTCTGTGTGAGCCGCCCCCATATCTGCCCACACTGCTGGCACAACCTGGGTGTTTAGAGCCCCCAGGAGAGGCTGAGGCAGCCCAAGCCCCTAGGAATGAGACCCCCCTCAAACTCAGAGGAGGGTCCAGAGAGGACAGCCACAAGCAGTGGCAGACTCCACTGTCCTTCCCTTAAGGGAAGTGGGACCCCTTAATGAGGCAGGAAACCAACAAATGCAATATTGGCCATTCACCACCAGTGACCTCTACAATTGGAAATTGCAAACGGCCAAATTCTCTGAGAAATCACAGGGCCTTATTGATCTGTTAGAGTCTGTTCTTTTAACCCATCAGCCCACTTGGGATGACATCCAGCAGCTATTACAGGTTCCATTTACCACCGAGGAGAGGGACCAGATCCAAACTGAGGCCTGGAAGCTGGTCCCCGGGGTGGATGGGAACCCCACCACCAACCAGGCGCTGATTGATGAAGCCTTCCCGTTAGTCTGACCAAACTGGGACTTCAATGTGGCAGAAGGTAAGGAGAGGCTTCAGGTCTACCACCAGACTCTAATGGGGGGGGGTCTCCTGGCTGCTGCAAGGCGCCTGACTAATTTGGCTAAGATTAGTGATGTGAAACAAGAAAAGACAGAATCCCCAGCAGCCTTTTTAAAGGCGTTCTGCACTTACACACCCATAGGCACCAGAAACAAGAGGCAGAAGAAAACAAGTATGCAGTTGTATTGGCCTCTGTCAACCAGTCAGCACCCAACATTAGGTGCAAGTTACAAAAACTAGATAAATTGGCTGATAAGACTCTACCGGAGCTTTTGGCAGTGGCAGAGAAAGCCCAGAAGACAAACAGGCTTGAGCCGCAGCCACTGCTATCGCCAAGCAGACCCGAGACTTTGCTAAGATCCTTCTGGGCTATGACTACAAAGTTGCCTGATGAGCGGGAATGCCAACTGAGCTACCTCTCTGTGGACTCAGGTAGGAAACCCCGGGAAGGGTGCCCAAGGTTACAGAGGAACCAATGTGCCTATTGCAAAAGGGCCACTGGATGAAAGATTGCCCAGAAAAACCTGCTGGGTGAAGCAGGGCCCGAGAAGGAGTGCAAATCCTCAAGCTTGGAGAAATGAGCGACTAAGGGGGTTGGGGTTCGGATCCCCTCCCCGAACCTGGGGTAACCCTCAAAGTGGAGGGGATGCCCATGAGCTTCCATGTAGACATGGGTGCCCAACACTTGGTATTAACTGAGCCCCAAGGAAAACTATCACATAAAAAGTCCTGGGTACAGAGTGCAACTGGCATGAACCAATACTCATGGGCCACCCAAAGAAAAGTGGATGTGGGCAAGGGCCGGGTGTCCCACTCCTTCCTGGTCATGCCAGAGTGCCCCTACCCACTCCTGGGCAGAGACTTGCTCACCAAAATTGGAGCCCACATTCATTTCACCCCTAGTGGGGCCCAAATGACTGACCAAGAAGGCCACCCGATCCAGGTACTCACCCTACAACTGGAAGATGAGTTTAGGTTACATCAAAAACACCAGAGGAGGATGTTTCCACCTGGCTAAAGGAGTTCCCCACAGCCTGGGCTGAGACAGGGGACATGGGGCTGACTGCCTACCAGCCCCCATCTGGATTGAGCTTAAGCCTGGAATCCTACTGGCCAGAGTTAAACAGTACCCTATGTCCCAGGAGGCCAGGCTGGGGATCACTCCTCATATCCAACACCTGAGGGATCAAGGCGTCTTGGTGCCTTGCCGATCGGCTTGGAATACCCCCTCCTGCTGGTCAAAAAGCCAAATTCAACCGACTGTCGGCCAGTCTAGGACTTGAGAGAGGTAAACAAGCGGGTTATGGATGTTCATCCAATGGTACCTAATCCTTACACTCTCCTTCCAGAAACTGGTACATGGTATTAGACTTGAAAGATGCCTTCTTTAGCCTGCCTCTGGCCAAAGAGAGCCAGCTCTTCTTTGCTTTCGAATGGCAAGACCAGGAGATTGGCTTCAACGGGCAGCTGACTTGGACCCACCTGCCGCAGGGATTCAAAAATTCACCCACCCTGTTTGATGAGGCTCTCCATGAAGACCTGGCCCTCAATCCAGCCACCCTGCTGCCTGATCTGGACCTGGACATGCCTTTGCATGATTGCGTGGGAATCCTGAGCCAAGTGCACAGGCTCAGAAAAGACCTGACCGATCAGCCGCTTCCTGATGGCAGCAGTTTTGTGCAAAATGGACAGAGGTATGTGGGGGCAGCAGTAGTAACTGAAACTGTCTGGGCAGCGGCTCTACCTGTGGGGACTTCAGCCCAGAGGGCTGAGCTGATAGCCTTGACCGAGGCTCTTAAATTAGGCAGGGACAGAAAATTGAACATGTATATGGATAGTGGGTATGCCTTTGCCACAGCCCATGTACATGGGGCCATCTACCAGGAGAGGGGGCTGCTCACAGCTGAGGTGAAGACTATTTAAAAATAAACAAGAAATCCTAGACTTACTGGCTTCCCTATGGCTACCCAAGAAACTGGCTATCATCCATTGCCCCAGGCACCAAAAGACAGATATGCCTATAGCCTGAGGAAACCGGAAGGCAGACCAGGTTGCCAAAGAGACGGTTCTGAAAGCAACCTTAGTCCTGGCTATCCATCTGCCAGACCCAGAGCCACCCATGCTACCAGACCAACCTGATTATTCTCAGGAAGATATGAAGGTGATACACAAACTTCCCATGACCCAAAAGATTGATGCTTGGTGGCATACAGGGGACTGCAGGATTATCCTGCCAAGTAACCTAGCCAAGGATCTCAATCACATCCACCGGACCACCCACCTGGGCACTCGAAAGACAGAAGACCTCCTAAGAAACGCCTATCTCAAGGTTCTGAACCCCTGATCATGTCGATTCAATCACCTCCAAATGTCTTAGCTGTAGGCTGACAAATGCTGAGAACCTTCCCAAAGAACAGGGGACCTGGTTGAAAGGCTCCAAGTCCAGAGCCCACTGGGAAATTGACTTTATAGAGATAAAACTGGGAAAATATGGTTATAAGTATCTTTTAGTTCTGGCAGATACTTTTTCAGGATGGACTGAAGTGTACCCCACCAAGCATGAGACTGTGCAAAGGGTTGCTAAGCAGCTACTGGAAGACATTCTTCCAAGGTATGGTGTGCTGGCTCTTCTGACCGGCCTTCACCTCTCAGGTAACACAAGAGTTAGCCAAAATATTGGGGGCAAAATGGAAATTACACTGTGTGTACAGGCCCCAAAGCTCTGGACAGGTAGAGAGGATGAATAGAACCCTAAAAGAGACCCTTACTAAATTAACCATGGAGACTGGTGGGGACTGGGTAGCTCTCCTTCCCTTTGCTCTATATAGGGTGAGAAACTCACCCTACCTGTTAGGTTTAACTCCATTTGAAATCATGTTTGGAAGACCCTCTCCCATCTTCCCCAATTTAAAAGGTGAATTAATTGCTGAGTCTGATAACCGTCAATTGCTTGCTTCTCTTGAGGCTGTGGCACATGCCCACAAGGACATGTGGCCCTGTCTGAAAGCTATTTATGAGACTGCTTCTCCTCCTACCCCACACAACTACCAGCCTGGTGATTGGGGCTACATCCGCAGACACAGCCATGAGACCCTAGAACCTCGCTGGAAAGGACCGTACATGGTGCTCCTGACTACCCCGACTGCAGTGAAAGTAGATGGAGTTAACACCTGGATTCATCACACCCACGACTGGCTAGCGAGCCCACACCCAGACCCAGACCACCTTCGCCCTCCACCGATCACTGCACCGGATCCTGAAACATGGAAAGTCCACAGGACATGGACAACCCTCTCAAGCTAAGACTTTATTGTTTTTAACGGCTTCTATATTGTCCTCTGGCAAGCCCACCCTAACCTTCCCAACACTGTGCTCTGGAGATTCTCTTTCAAGGAAATGTACCAGGGGAGAAACCAGGTGATTGGCTGCCGAGAACCCCTAGACATCATAGTGTACCCCAATGCCAGTAGCCACACAAATGACGAATATGTCTGCTTTCCTTATCGGCAGACAGACTTGTCATGTTTAAAAGACAGCACCCTCTACAGAGGGTGCCGCTACTTCTGCAAGCTAGAGACAGGCCTAACCTGGGGACAAACAGGGATTACAGAGGAGAGGTCCATATTCCTACTGGAAAACGGTCAACCTTATTCCCAAATATATGTTGCAGATCCCTGGGACGCATGCTGGCATACTGGGGTAGTAGGAAAGTTCTACCCAGGGGGAGTCACCAGTTACCCCACTGCTGATTTCCACATTTCCCGCCTATACTGACCCATCATAGCATTATTGTACAGGAAAAACAAACGGAGGAGCAGATAAAATCAACCATGTCCTGGAATCAATATATACAATATGTGGTGGACTTTTTACCCTTCACCAACCACCCCAATGCCTCTAATTGCTTTCTTTGTACATCTAGCAATAGACCCTTGCTGACTGCAGTACCAGTTAATGCTACTCTCTCTAAGGCTCCAGGAAATAGCTCCTCTGATGCCCATTTGGTGGGCGTTCCCCTGTTTGAACAATCACCTGACTACCCGCTTTGCATTTCTGGTGAAGCCGTTCCTGCCCATTAGAAGTTCCTTGCTAATGTGACTCTTTCTGGAACTGCCTTCCCCTTTTTCTCTGGTGTGGGGGAGACATTTTGACCTGCGTTAATTCCTCTCAGCCTGCCTGTTGTGTTCCAGTAATCATCACCCCCCAGGTGTACTTGTTTGAGGGAGGAAGAGGCTGCTCTTCTCCTCTATGACCAATTGCGGAGTTTCCCTGTTAGTGGGTCTGGGACTCGCCCTCTCAGTACGCGCCAGGAGTGCAGCGACTGCGGCTAGCGTTCAAACCAATCATCTGGCAGGGGACTTCCAGTACAAGTTAGACCAGGCAATGGCTTCCACAACCAACAGCCTTGAGTCCCTCCAATGACAAATGAATTCACTTGCAGGAGTGGTTCTTCAGAACAGGTGAGCTCTGGACCTAATCACAGCTGAACAGGGGGGAACTTGCATGGTTTTGGGGGGAAATTGCTGCTTCTTTGTCAATGAGTCCAGTATTGTTGAAGAAAATGTAAAAACCCTCAAACACCTCCGCCAGGAACTCCTCTCCAGATACCAACCTACAAAGCCACAAAATTGTTATGATCAACTGTTCAATTGGTCTCCCTGGCTTACCACTCTACTTTCAGCCTTGGCTGGGCCCAGTTGGGCCATGTATCATCAATCGGCTGACTGCCTTTGTTAGAGAGCGGGTGAATGCAGTACAACTCATGGTCCTGAGGTCCCAGTATCAGCCCATAGACCCCCTCACTAGAGACCCCAACCCAGACCCATGATTGGGTCATCCCTAGTTACTAGGAGAGGGGAAAATGTGAGACCCTGACTCGTCTAACTGCTTTCTGCTTCTGTAATCTGCTTGGCTTAAGACGGCACTAACTCCATTTTGACTAGCTGTTTCAGGCAAGCCCCGGCATGCCCAGGCATGTTGTAATCTTCAGTTACCACCCCATCCCGGAGAGCTATAGATCAAGCAAGCCTGGGCATATAGTAGCCTTAAAAGGTGAAAACAGAAACTTCTGGCCCCACAGATAACAGCACATTCTGATACCCTAAAGACAGCCCCTACCAATAAGAATCCTCCCTGTACTCAGGGCATAGGACCATCCAATCATTTTAAAGGATGCTTGGCACGTGGGCATCTGTGAAACTTCCCTATAAAAACCTACCCCACCCTAGATTGGGGCTCTCAGTACAGATCCGCTGCGTCGGTGAAATCTGAGGGCCCAAGCTCAAGCCCAAATAAAGGCACTTTGCTTTTGCACGCTCTCCGGACTCCTTTGTGGTCATTGGGGGTTGCAGGATCAGGGTGCAACACATGTACGTGCACTTGTGCATGCATACCTGCAGAAGCCAGATTAGGGCATGGGATCCCCTGGAACTGGAGTTATGGATGGTTGTTAGTGGCCATGTGGGTGCTGGGAATTGAACCTGGGTCCAATGCAAGAGCTGCAAGAGCTCTTAACTGCTGAGTCATCTCCCAGTCCCTTCCCTAGAGATTTTAAATGAATGCAGAATTCTGGTTTTGTTTGTTTTGGGTTTTGTTTCGTTTTGTTGAGACAGGGTTGACACAGTGGAGGATGACCCAGAACTCCTGATCTTTCTACCTCCACCTCCAGAGAGCTTGGATTACAGGCCTATGCTACCATATCAGGTTTATGTGGCGATAGGGGTCAAACTCAGGGTTTGGTGTGTGTTAGGCAAACACTCTACCAACTGAGTTACATCCCCAGCCCTATTTTGAGACTGGGTTTTGCCCTGTTGGCCGATAGTTTTTGAGCTTCCTAGACTCAAGGGATCCTCCTACCTCAGTTTCTAAAAGTGCTGGGACTAAAGGTGCACTTGATGCCCAGATGAAAGAATGAAGGGGTTTCTGGCTTGAGTAACTGGGTGGAGCCTTTCTCTGAGGCAAAGCCCAGATGAACAAGGTCAAAAGCTTAGTATTTGAGATTGATGGTGGTACATGTATTGTTTTTCTTTCTTTTCTTTTTTTTTTTTTTTGGTCTTAAGACAGGGTCTCCCTGTAGCTCCAGCTTTTCTGGAACTCACTATGAAGACCAGGCTGGCCTTGAACTCACAGAGATCCACCTGCCTCTGCCTCCCCGAGTGCTGGGACTAAAGGCGTGGACTACCACGCCAAACATAGTACTTGCATTGTTACAGAAAAAAATCAGAGATCAACAGCCAAAATCAGGTGAGGAGAGGGAGGTTTAATTTGACGCTAGGGGGACTGACCCACAGATCCCTTCTGTAAAGGAGTCAGACCCCTTGTTCAAGTTGTGGAGGGTTTTTATACTCATATGTTAGGAATGCAAGCAAATGGTACATAGTATATACATGGTAAGTAAGATAACATAGAGTTGCAAAGGTTATTGAAATGGGAAGTCCTTGGGAAACAGAGATTTCTCTATTGGGCAAAGGTTACAGGAATGTAATGTTTGGAAAACAAAGACTTCTATCCTGGGTCACTGCAGGGGGTGGGGGAGACTCTTGCTCACCTCCCCCATACCTATCTCTTGTCTCACAGTTTTTCCTGCTCCAAAGTTCTTAATTACCATCACATTCCAAGACCTTCTAGCATCAAAAGTACATACATGCAGATAGGCAGATGAAATTGGGTGAAGAGCGATGCAGACCGGAGCATGAGAAATACCCAACTGTGGGCTGGAGAGATGGCTCAGCAGTTAAGAACACTGGTTGTTCTTGCAGAAGACCCTGGTTCGAATCCCAGCACCCAAATGACGGCTAACAACTATCTGTAACTCCAGTTCCAGGGAATCTGACAGCTTCTTCTGTCCTCCGAGGGCATTTGCACGACACGGGTGCACTTACCTACATGTAGGCAATACACTCATACACATAAAATAAAAATGATAAATAAAATATTAAAAGAAATACCCAACTGTGGGCTATAATAATATGCCAGGGGGTTCTGGGGGTTCTGGGCCACCTAGAACAGCAGCAGATGTTCTTTGAAAGACCGTATAACCAAGAAAGGCTTGCTAAATGTCATTTACAAAAGAAAGTCCCAGGGGTCGGATAGACAGCTCAGAGGTTAAGAGCACTTCCTGCTCTTCCAGAGTAAGGTTTGCCAGCTCCCATGTCAAATGGCTCACAACTACCTGTAACCCTCCTCCAGAGGATCTGTTGCCTTCTGCTGGCCTACACACACACATACACACACACACACACACACACACACACACACACACACATCTTTAAAAACAAAAGAAATCCCCAGATCTGCCAGAGGAGGCCCAGGAATCACAAGGGTGTGAGAAGAGAACACTGGGTGTGTGCAACTGCACTGAGTTCTTGTGAGGGCTGAAAAACCAGAGTTGAAGCCCATGGGCCGTATGGAGTGAAAGAAGAAAAGGAATGTCTCAGAAATACAAAACATTACTAAGTATTTTAAAACTTAAAAACATTAGTCCCAACTCCATTAAAAAACAAGCCAGAGCCGGTTGTGGTGGCGCACGCCCTTAGTTCCAGCACTCAGGAGGCAAAGGCAAGGGGATTTCTGTGAGTTTGAGGCCAGTCTGGTCTACAGAGTGAGTTCCTGGCCAGCTGGGGCTAGGGGGACCCTGTCTCAAAAAGACCAAAACAAAACAACAAGCCAGATATTCATTTAGTCAATAAACACCCCAAAATTTGTCTTTAGAGCGGAACTTAGGAATCACCTAGAAGCGTGGCGCATGTCTGTAATTCCAGTACTTGGGAAGTGAAGTAGCGGTAAGATTGGGGAGACAGCTCGTTCAGGAACGTATTATGCAAGCAGGAAGACCTGAGTTCAAATTTCAGAACCCATATAAAAAACAGCAAGCTTCTGGTTCAGTGAGAAATTCTGTCTTAGAGGAGTAAGGAAGAGTGTAGAGGACACCCAACGGGGAAGCCAGATGAGTGTGTCTCCCCCAGAAGATTTACAACTTGTTAAGAGCATCAAAAAGTCCAGGGGGAGCTGGAGAGATGACTTACCAGTTAAGAGCACTGGCTGCTCTTGCAGAGGACTCAGATCCGATTCCCAGCACCTGCATGGTGGCTAACAATGCCCTCTTCTGATCTCTGAGGGCACTGCATGACACGGGTGCACTTATGTACACAGGCATAACACTCATAAACAGAATAAACAAAAATGTTTTCAAATTATTTATTTACTTGTATTTTATGAGTATGAATGTTTTACCTGAATGTATGTAAGTACAGCCATATCATTTGATGTCTGAAGAGGCCAGAAGAGGGCATCAGATCCCCTGGAACTGGAATTACAGAGAGCTGTTAGCTGCCATGTGGGTGCTGGGAACCAAAACTGTATCCTCTGCAAGAGCAGCCAGTGCTCTCAACCGCTGAACCATCTCTCCAGCCCCTTATGTCAGCATCTTGACAGGTGTGAGTATGGATGTGATTACAGGTGTGATACCTGGCTCTTAATTTCTTATTTTTAAATCTTATTCATTTTTATTTTATGTGTATAAGTGTATTACCTGCGTGTATAAGTGCATCCTTGTCCTGCAGTGCCCACGGAGGTCAGAAGATGACATCAATTCCCCTGGAACTGGAGTTATGGATGGTTGTTAACCACCATGTGGGTGCTGGGAATCGAACCTGGGTCCTCTGCAAGAGCAGCCAGTGCTCTTAACTGCTAAGCCATCTCTCCAACCCCTTCATTTCTCCTTTTAAGCTTCTCAGTGATTTTGATGTGTCCTAAGGTATTAGAATCAGTTCTCTGAGGAGAGGAAGAGAGTTGGAAAAGGGTCTCCTTCTATATCCCAGGCTGGCTTTGAACTCGTAGCAATCCTCCTGCCTTAGCCTCTCACATCCTGGGCTTACAAGCATAAGCTACCATAACCAACTTTTGAAATCACTTCCAAAACTCTTGGCCCACTGGGCATATAGTGTGTGCCTGTAGTCTGGGTAGGAAAGAGGCTGAGGTAGGGACATGATTTGACCTCAGGAGTTTGAGACCAGCTTTGGGAACACAGTGGAACCCTGACTCAAAAAGAGAATAAAGGAGTGGGGAGATGTAAAGCATGAGGGCCCGCATTTGGATGCTATACTGGATGCTTTAGTTGTCAACCTTACACACCTGGGTAGAGCAAGCCTCAATGGGGAACTGCTTCCATTGGATTGGCCTGTGGCCAAGTCTGAGGGGTATTTTCTTGACTGTTGAGTGATGTGGGAGGGTCCATCCCATGGTGGGGGATGCCACCCCTGGGCAGGTTGTCTGAAATAAGAAAGCAGGTTGAGCACAGACCAGGGGAGGAAGCCAGTAAGCAGCATTCCTCCATGGCCTGTGCTCCAGCTCCTGCCTCCAGGTTCCTGCCTTGAGTTTCTACCATGGGCTCCCTGATGAACTGTGACCCAGGAGATGTAAGAGAAATAAACCCTTTATTCCTTAAGTTGGTTTTGGTCAGTGTTTTTATCATAGCAATTGAAAGTAACTAGAACAAAAATTGTTACCAGGAGTGGGGTATTGCTGTGATGGACCTGACCATATGTGTCTGGGTGGATTGTGGAAGTGTTTGCAACTTTGGGATGGAAAAGCCATTGAGTGCTCAGAGCTTAGTGAGCTGTTACTGTGGAGTTTGGAATAGTTATGATAAAAAGAAATGTGGATGATGGAGGCCTGGATTGTGAAGCAAAG